AGCCCTGAAGGCGACGCTCCCCTGACCTCCATCAAAGATTACTTTTGAGCTTCATATGATGGCATCGCCCAGTATCTACTATTTCTGAACCTGGCTTCTTTTGCTCAACGTTTTTTCTGTGACACCTATCGTGTCGCTTCCGTCTTTCTTGTTTGTCTTCCCCTCTAGAGCTGTGCCTGTCTAACAGCGCAGTCACTGGCCACATGCGGGACTTGCATTCACACGAATTGCACAGGCTGCTCTGGAGTGTCAGCCCCGGCAGGGCAGGGTTTGTTCTGTTGAATGCGGTGCTCAGTATTTGCTTGTTGAGTGACTAATGAAGCTGTCCGGCAGGGAGCTGATGGGTGGTCATGATAGACAATTAATGTCTTAAGCCCCAGTATTGGGGGTTATTGATGTGTGTGCCGGGGTGGGTGGGGACGTGTAGGTGACAGTCGAGATGGGCAGAAAAGGGTAAGTAGAGGTTTGCAGGAGAGAAAGGTGCCACAGAAGGAGGCAGTGCCCACCCTGGTGTGTGTGAGGAGCAACCCCAAACTTAGTTTTGGGAACACTAAGAGTAAACCTTTAAAAACTGTTCAGTCCCCTCTAGGCACCCTCCATCCCCACAGATGTCCCCCGGTCCCAACTAGACACCGCCCTGCCGGTGAGGGCACGGCCGGGGGAGCGGAGTTGGAGGAAAGCTCGGGCGGCGGGGGGGAGGCGGGCGGGCGGTGGAGCTGTCGGGGCGTCTCGGCAGGAGCTCAGGGAGATTTTCGAGCAGAACAAGTCGTGCAAAAGTCAATGCTGCCGCCGGGAGCCCCATGGCTGCGAGTTCCACTGCGCCGAGAAGGGGTCCGAGGGCAGCTTGTGTCACACGCAGGGGGGTGTCCGCACCTGGGGGGAGCCCGCAGGGAGCCAGGGGAAGGGGGACCAGGGCGGGCCCAGTTCCTGGCAGGGGGCGAAGAGTAGGTGGGCGGAAATGACCCGGAGCTGGGGCTGCACCTCCAGGGTGTGGGGAGCCTGCCTGGAGGCTTGGCATCCGGGTGCGGGGCGCGGGAGGCGACGCTTCACTTGGTGATGTGGGATCTCACTCTCCAGGGGTCTTCTCCGCAAACCCCGAAAGTAGTTCAGAAAATGGGCACAGCTGGGTGCCACCTCTGCCCCAGACGCGCCCTCTTCACCCAGCCCCAGGAGTTCTGCTGCGGCCCCAGGCGTCCCTGGTGGGAGATGGGCCGAGGCAGCCCCTGAGCTGGGCGTGCAGACAGGGCAGCTGATTTGCCCATGGAAGGATTTAAGGAGAAGGGATGCGTTCGTGGAATCTGCGCAGGCAGAAGAGTTAATGACAGGCAGGGCAGAGCTAGCGGGGCGGCACTGAGCAGCTCCAGCATGGAGAAGGCATCCCGAGGTGCCGCTCTGAGCAGCTGGGCTGCGGTCTTTTATCCCCAGGCTCCTGGCTGTGGGCCAGCAGATGGGCCTTGGAGCTGGGCTAGGTAGGCCTGGGGGCTGCCCATGGGGCTGACGGAGAGCAGCCCCCGAGGCCAAGGTCGTAGTCCTGCCTTTCCCAGACTTTCCTAGGCCTGTATAGCGAGTGTCCCTGCAAGCCGAACCTGACTTGGGTATTTCCGAAGAACGAGAAATCGCCTGGAATCATCTATGGCCGTTGTCAGAAAATTGAAAAAAAGAAGCCAGCTAAGAAAATGTTCTTCTAATGCTTTCTCTTTCTTGCTGCCTCTGCCACCCACCATGCTACCTACCCAGAACTATGTGTCCCTGCCCCTGGTCCCCAGAGCCTCCACCAACAGTGTACCATCATTGAAATAAAGAACTTTCAATGTTTGCTGCCCACAGAGCTGGGGCCTGGGTGGGCTGGGCTGGGTGGGTGTGGTACAGGTTGCTGGGGGAGTGGGGTGGGCATGAGGGAGTGTTGGGTCGCAATCTGAAACGTCTGTTCTTGGTGTGCTCTTGGCTGAAGAATGACCAGACACACTGAAAGCAAGGTCAGTGTGAAAATGAGGTTTATTGAGCAGAGAAAGATAGGATTATAGAGCAAGAGCAAGATACAGGTTTACAGAGCAAGATACATACACCACAGATGACGACCAGACCCATTGTCGTAGCAAAAAAGAGACCTTGGTTATGGTCTGGGTCTTGTTTTATAGTGTTTGGATTGGACCCTCCTTGTGGCTCAGACATCACCATGGAACCACTTTGATTGGACAGTTGGGAGATACATGACCTGAGTCTTACTACACAAGCGGATCTCC